GATAACAGATAAAAGAACCCGCCGGTTGGCATTGTCCAGCCACTTGATCAGTTCCATAGTTAGACCATCAGGGCCAGGTTGTTTATTGGGCTTTGCCGCCTTGATGGCTGCACAGAGCTCTTGTATTGTGAAACTCTCTACTCCTGCATCGTTGCTGTCTACAAGTTTGCTGTGGTTGATTTCGTTTTCAGCTTGGTTGCTCCAGTGTTTTTGTTCTAGATAGTTCGCTATAGTCTCAGCGCGTTGGGCCAAAGGGACACGCTGACCATCCATGTTCTTCATTTTCACATAATTGGGTATGAATTTCTTTTTAAATCCCTTAACCGCTCTCCATAAACCTTTCTTATTGGGATCTTGGGGGTTCTCATTGAATTGTTCTATCAAATGGTCTTGCCTGTCCCTCCGGGCCATTCGGGCAATTTCCCTGTTGAGGTTCGTTATTTCCTTTGCTGTGGTTCCGTTTCGGGCCTTTTCGTTTCTCTCTTCAATTTTTGCCCAAGTACTTTGACGAATAATTTTTTCGTTTTATTCGGAGGTTCTATCCTTAGTGAGCTTGCGGCCGCGTTTTTCATGGCCTCTGTGAGTGAATCCAAGTCGCATCTTTTCCCCTCTAGCAAAGACCGAATGTTATTATTGTAGAAAATCTATCTGTCTGAGTCAGGTTTCGCATATCGCGACGTACGTGGCGCATTGTCCTTTTGAATGTAGGGAAAGAAATATTGAGCTTGCATTCCAACACAAAATAGTCTGAATCAAAACGAACATCTAATCTACTTTGGATATCTGATATTGCTCTTTGCTCGATCTGCCCACAGAGCCAGTAATCGATCTGTGCATATTTTATTGCGTCATATGGGGGGCCATTGTATTCTTCGTTTTCATCCATATGGACTTTTTCCTTGTAAGTGACTAACTTTTCAGGCGGTTTCGAAAACAAGCTGTTTGCAACTTGAAGGCGGTGTGATTTGCAAAACCCAAGGAAAAGCGCCCTATTTTCTTTTGTATGTTCATTCATGTTATCTAGATATTCCATTCCTCTGCCTATGATATGTGGTCCACATACATCGATATCGTTGTCTCTAACGTAATGAATACGGGCGTTGAAGTCTCCTCCAATCAAGAAGCGCCCTTTTATTCGCGACACTTCTGTGGATAGTTGGTCGTAGAATTCCTCTTTCTGTTCAATAGTGTGTCCGCTGTGAGGTGCATATGCACAAATAAAGGAAAGAGGTGAGCCCTGTGCTTCAAACGTTTGTTATTATCCGGCCGTTAATTTGTCTAATATCTCGCAGACTTGGAAGGAGTGATGAATTAATCACTATTCCTACTCCGGCATTTTCAAAGTCCTCCGATGTTCTGTAGTTTGCTCTCGCCCTTCCAGGGTTTATGTTTTCGTCCCGTTTTTCATTTCTCGTTCTCTTATTTTGGGGTCAATATTACTACTAAAGAAACAAGTTGAGCTGTCCCATTTTTCCCAGCTGGAGGTATTAACGTTGGTCTCTGTTAGAAGTAGTATATCGTATGAGTGCTTCTTCATAATATCATCAATTACTTCCCGTTTGGTAAGGTGATTGCATCCTCTTACATTCAAAGTGGCAACTTTCAAGCGACTTCCGTGTTTTAGCTTCCATTGTTTCGCCTCATTTTTTTGTAGTTTGTTGCTCTGATTTAAACTGGTTTCTTGGAACTTGATAGCGGCGCATTTATATCGGAATTCTTGTTTCCTTTTCTTGATCGTGGATTTGAACCAATGTCTTGCATGGTTTAATGATTGTTTGAAGCTGTGTTGTTTCAAACATTTCCTCTTAGCAAGACTACTTTTCTGTAACCGTTCCTTGGCTGTCTCAGTGGCTCTCGCCCACAGACATGTGCGTTTGAAGAATCTCCACTGTCTTCTGCGCTCCCGTCTTTTCTGGTTAATCCTAACTTTAGCCCGTCGGTAATAGAAAAAAGTTGCTGGAGAGTCTTGATGTGGATGTCTGTGGGGTCGTTCAGTCAGCCCATAAATGGGCGGTGTCCCGGGGCGCCATCTGGAAGGCTTGGTGTGGTATGTTGTGGTGTTCCATGTTTGCTCGGTTTGTCCCTGTTTTTTGCCATGATTTGCTTCCTGTTGGAAGGATTGTTGCCAACGTTTTTTCCGCCAATGTTGTTGCCAAAGTTGTTGCCTCTGCTGATGTCTCGTCTGTTGCCTCTGTTGATGTCTCTGTCTTTGTCACTCTGAGCTTCGTATCTCCTGCCGTTCGTCTTCCAGACGTGCTTCTGCGAATGAAATGGCATATGGATATCGAATGTAGTTGGAAAAACGAGGGTGGTCTTTGTGAGCTTCCTTCCATCCTTCATGCCACTTCTCCTTCACGATGTCCATGAGCCCTTTTTCCAGCACAATAGCTGCGATCCCTTGGTCTCTGTCATAGGACATCTCCCGTGCACGTTTTCCATACTCACACTTGCCATTGGACGCTTTCACTCTTCCACTTACACTGGGATACGTATAGAAGTGTAAGTCTTCATGTTCATGTTCAAGTGTAAGTGTAGAAATGTCAGTGTTCAAGTGCAAGTGTGGAAGTGTCAGTGTGTAAGTGTCAGTGTTCAAGTGCAAGTGTGGAAGTGTCAGTGTGTAAGTGTAAGTGTCGAAGTGTCAGTGTTCAAGGGATTTTCCGGGAGAACCCTTCGCAATGCTTTCGGGAAAAACCTGGCGGGCGGAACCCTGGACGGGATGGAAGCGTGAACCTCGCCGCATCCCTGGCCGGAAACCGGGTGGGAAAAACACTGGCGGGCGGAAAAAAGACCTAGCCCGTCCTAGTAGGTAGGTAGGTAGGTAAGTAGGTAGGTAGGTATGTAGGTAGGTAGGTCGGTGGGTCGGTCGGTGGGTGGGTCGGTCGGTCTAGGCAGGCAGGCAGGCAGGCAGGCAGGCAAGCAAGCAAGTAAGTAAGTAAGTAAGTCAGTGAGTGAGTGAGTAAGTGAGTAAGTGAGTAAGTGAGTAAGTCAGTAAGTAAGTAAGTAAGTAAGTAAGCAAGTAAGCAAGTAAGCAAGTAAGCAAGTAAGCAAGTAAGCAAGTAAGGAAGCAAGGAAGCAAGTAAGGAAGCAAGTAAGGAAGCACGTAAGGAAGCAAGTAAGGAAGCAAGTAAGGAAGCAAGTAAGGAAGCA